TTGGTCACTCACTTGATTTTATTTTGGTCAGCCTGGTGTTTGACACTCATCTTAATCAACACAATAAAGTTACATTTGTATAGTACCTTTCATGTCAGGAGGACATCCCAAGGCACTGGGACGTCCTCCCGACCTGAATTTGCAGCTTGTCCATTATATACTGAGATTTTCAAATGCCAAGACACTTGAATTCATTCTATAATACCTTCTCCCTCGAGTCCATGGAGTCTAGTTTGCGCCCTGCCCATGGCCCCCACACAGCACTTGTCAAAGTCACAAATGACATCCTCTATCGTCTCCTCGTCCTCCTGAATCTCTCTGCCATGTTCAACACAGTCGATCACACCATCCCCTCCCTCATCCATCTTAGTGGGACCGCACTCGCATGGTTCGAGTCCTACTTAACCAATCACTTCCATTTCATCTCAGCAATGGTTTCTCCTCCCGCCCCCACCCGGTCATCTATGGGCTCCATCGCTGACCCTCTTTTCCTTATCTATGCGCTCCCTCTGGGCGATGTCATCCACAGACATGGGGTAAACTTCCACATGACACACAAATCTACTTTGCCTCTTCCAGTACCAACTCCAGGTCCACTGATGTTCTATCAGCTTGTCTGGCAGTCATCAAGGCCTGGATGAGTCAAAACTTCCTGCAGCTGAATGTGGATAAGACGGAAGCCATACTCCTTGGCTCCCGTCAACGTCTTCGCTTTTGCGTATCTGAACTCCTCAACCTCCCCGGGCTCACCTTCAGACTCACTGAACCAGTGCGCAATCTAGGCGTCCGATTTGAACCCCAGCTGTCAGCTTTCAGCCACTACACCCCAAAACTCTGGAACACTCTCCCTCAATCCCTCTGCTTTGCCCCCCCTCTCCTTTTTGAAGTCCTACCTGAAAACCTTCCTCTTCGACCGTGCTTATGGCCACCTCCCCCCACCCAGCTTGGAATCAGCCTCTGCCACTCTTAAGCTTCTCTGAGACCCTGCCCTGCTTGGAGGACTCCATATATGTGCAAGTTGTTGTTCTCATATTAGTACACTTCTGTTGCAATTAGATTTACAAAAAGTAGGATAAAATTTTTCAGCCATGAAAGTTTACAAAACACATTTCTGCCTTTGCAATGTTGTATTGAGAAATGTAAAGTATTTTAATGCTAGTTCATCTACCATACTCATTCTATGAGTTCAGACCTTCAGACCAAGACCCTGTCAAGTAATTTGGGTTGGTAATTCAGATGAGCTGTGTTGTATAGTGTAACCATTCTAATCCTAGTCTGTTGATACTTACTCCATAAATCTCTTCACAAAATCCAGTTTAACACCAGGTGCAACAAAGAAAATGTGAAAGGATTTTGCTGAAAGCTAAAATCTTAAATGTATTCTTCCTTTTCTCTTCTAGTAACTCAGTGATATTATCTAATTAGTAGTCAAACTGCACAGCTCCTGAAAATCCTGAATTATATCCCACTTTTAGACAGCACTAGTGGGTGCTAGATCTAGCAAAAGCACACAGGAGAGAAAATTATTCAGCACTGTACACCATTTTCTAAGCAAGATGGTGTGTGGAAAAGGAAGCTTTGCAACTGGCTGCAAAGAGGTTTGTCAAATTGCCAACCAGATGAGAACTGGAACTCAGCAGTTGGGGAAATAAACTGTTCAGGAGGCACTCAAATAGGTATATAACAAAAAGAGACAGCACTGACAAAAGCTTTACAAATATTGCAAAAAAGCAACTATTTTCAGTATTGAAATGGTTAAATTAAATCCCTGTAGTTCACATCAAATGACTTACAATTAACTTATTGCTGCACCCACTTATTTCCAACAGAAGCAAACTAGGATCCAGAGAAAAGCCAATTGTCACATTGGTGCTTGGCAGGTTGTGTTAGAGGCTGAAAACATCATAAAAGTTTAATTTTTAAAAAAAAATAACGGCCTGACCTAATACTGTTTGTCACCAAAAACTTAAAAGATGAAGAAAACAAACAATAATCAGTTTTGCATCAGCATTAACAATTGTTCATATCCAGTCTAGAATGATATTTGCAGTGACATCCACTGTTTGAAAAGAGAAGGCAGTGTCTCACAGTGTCCTGGCCAAAAATCCCCAGAAAACATTGGTCATTCACTTCATCACTGATTGTGGGACATTGCTACATGCAAACTAGCTACCATTACCAGGTAATACTGGTGTGGGCAGGTTGGGCCAAATGGTCTGTTTCCATGCTGCGTTACCTGACATCAATGTAGTTATATCTTTCCAATTCATTAACACGCACCTGTACCTTGATGTAATTCTGTCTCAGAGGCAAGATTTGACAAGATAGAAGCCTGCAAAACACAGCTTACACTTTGCCCGACAGTAATCCTGTGAAGTGCTTTGAGACCTTCTCCTGACATGAAAGACACTATATCAAAGGCAAGGATTATTAATAATAACAAACTGGTTACCAGGGAGAATAGTTATGTCCAAGAAACTGGACTCAAATATTTAAGAAACAGCTTGATGGTGTAATGGAAAGCCAGCAGGATGAGTATTGTGGAAGGATGAGTTGAAATGGGCCGAACCACCTTCATCCAAACCTCTCATGATTTCATTATTCTTTCACTGTAATAATTGCAAAACTTGTTTGGGTGATCTTGCGGGTGCAAGATGCTTCTGTGTTTACCTGAAAATAGTAATTACTATTGGCAGTAATTACTAGTGAAGTGCTACCAAGATGTTACAAGCCAATGAAATTATATAAAAATAATTAAAGTTCATGGTTTGTTGCAGGGAGTTTGGAATAGGAAGGAATGTGGCTCATGTGGAGTATAAACACTGGTGTGGACTAGTTGGACTAAATGGCCTGTTTCCATGCTGTGACATCAATGTAGTTATATCTTTCCAATTCATTTGGACACACCTGTAGCTTGAGGTATTACTGTCTCAGAGACGAGATTTGACAAGGTATGAGGCTGAAATATTTTCCATGAAAAGTATCAAGAAGAATTAAATGGAATTGCTTGCCTATGTATCAGAGAAAGCAAAGGACATGAATGGAAACAAATGTGTTTTTTTTTCACATTATAAGAACCAGACAAATGTGCAGCAGATCATCATCCTTGTGATGGTTCTCAGAATAAGCAAGCCATTTGGCCCAATTCACCTGTCTTTTCCCCAAAGAGAAACCAGGTTTACACAATGAGGTATGAGGTAATTAATAATTAAAGTAATTTTATGAAACATGGTTTGAAAGAATTCCAAACAACAACCACCAGTGTGGCCCATCCTGATATTTACCACTTTCATTTTACAGTGGCACAAATATAATTTCCCAAGTTATAACTTATACTCGAAGGCATCAGTGATTCATTTGTTTTAACGTCTTGCATACAAGGACTCTACCACATCTCCAACATAAACGAAAAATCCATATCCATATGACACAAAATACCAAGAGAAAATATATGTTGTGAAAGAGGGGGATGATTAAGACAAGTTGTGTTTGCAGGGGAAGAAGAAACAAAAATACATAACACATTGCAAATGTCTGGGCTATGGTTTTTCCCTTCCTCCCCGTGGAAGTGATTTGGCTCCAGTGTGTCTGTCTTCTCCAGACTCCTCATTCCACTGCGCATAGAAATGTAGGAAAAATCCCACATGCTCCCACCACGAGCTGCAGTGTACGACATCAACACATTCTATCAAGGGCTGCTCTTTTGATAATTGTCTTCCCCATTGCCCACCCACTTCAAATAAGAGTCAAACCACTTTGAGGAGTAACGCTAGATGCTGTTTTGTTTTCCAGAAACAGCTCTTTGTCATAGTCTTTTATATACATAGAGGAATGTACAACCATCATAAAACATCCAGTGCATTGATGTTTCGAGAGAGCTGAAACAATTCAAAGTATTTCACTGCAAATTGTAAAATACAGTATAAATGTACATTTATATGGGGCCTTTCATGTCAGGAGGAAGTCCAGCTCAACAGTCCTGGCTTTGCATCCGCACTGAAGGAGGGGTGGGAAGTGGAAAGATGATCTAAAGTCCGGTGAAAGTGTCAGATCTTGAAACGGAACTTGAAAGATGTGAGGGATCGAATTCCGGGAGAGGGCAGATACAATGGAAGATGCATGGAATCATAGAAATTTACAGCACAATATCGAGCCCACACCGACTGTCAAAGCAAGATGCTCATTCTCTCCCAAAGCCCTGCCTTAGGGCCAATAACCCTTCAAGCCTCCAATATTCCAAAAATGTGAGTTAATGAAAGATGCTTTACAAGCAAAATAATTGTTTACTATTATTAATTTAAAATTTGAATAAAATGCAAAAACTAATTTCAGAATAAAAACACTTATTCTTGTTTGAATGCTAATACAATAGACCAGCCTGACAGACAGATCAATTTTCAGATCCCAATTACTGAATCCATATTTACTCCCATTTTGAGGCAAATAATAATTTAAAAATTCCTAGGATTTAATTTTGATAAATGGTTTGGTCTTTGTGCCGAAGCATATAGTTTGTGTAAACAGAGGAGTAATGGGCAAAAGTGGGCAGTCATTATCACAGGAGTAAATAGAGAAATTCCTTAGCAACCTTAACTACATTACAGACTCGTTTAGCTGGGAAAGACAGCTGGAATTAATTTGATCAGTCATGTCAAACCCGAGATTCACTCATTAAAAACAGTAGCCAATTCCTGAGACGGGCTAAATTAACTGCTGAAGTACATTTGTATGTTTCTTGTCCCAGTAAATGAGGATTCAACCCTCAAAAATTGTCAACACAGTGACTTGCATGCAGAGAACCAAGACCAACTTGAGATCTGAACTGAATTGTAGTTACAGTACATTGGGATAATAGGTCTTTTAAACTTACACTTAATCAGAATTGCTACTACACCACTTGAGGCTTTTTTTTAAAAAAAAGTTTCTTCTAGTGAGGACCAATTCTTGAATTTAATGAAGCAAGCTTAAGTGAATACATAGACACAAATGAAGTACACTCATTATGTGCATATTCTTGGGTCGTTTATTTTAACACTCTCTAATAAGTATGTTCCATGCAGTAGTTGAATAAATATGGAGCAGCAATGCTCATACAGTACAACCATTCATAATGTAAGTTACCAGTGTGAAACCACCACATCTGAAGTTCTTGGCTCAGTTTTGTACAGTGTAGCTCACCACATCTGCACATCATCATATCTGACCTCATATGGGTTTAATAGAACTATGGCATAAATGCATGCAAACAAGTTTAACTATGAACTTCCAGTCATTAAATACAGCTACTAACTAGGTAAAAGGCATCAGCAAATATGCAACTACAGTGTTTCAGATTTCAATTCAATATCACAGAATCCAGCAGATAGTTCTGTAACGCCGTACTGGTTTTGAACTGTAAATCCTGAAGTCAAGGTGGACCTTACATTGTTTCCCATATATTAGAGAAATGTGAAATGGTAACACTAGCAACAGCAGCTTTTCAGCATAAATGGCACTTTAACACTGGCATATCTTGGTATGGCATTGTTGGCCTGGCAACTCGGGTGTAGATAATGTCTTACAGCTGTGCAATCACCTCTACTCCAGTTTCCTCCTCAGCATCTGCACGGTTCGCCCGGATTTCCACCAGGGTCCGAGCAAAACGGGCCCATTCGTCACTGTGAGGCATCGCCAGTTGCTATAAAAGGGAAGAGGGGAAAGCATTTCACTTGAGGAGCAAGAAATAGCACTTATCCCACAAACCTCAGTAATTCCTATTTCCTTAAGTGTAACTTCATCAAAAAATATCAAGGGTATTGTAATCTCACAAAAACAATTGTTCTAGTGTACATACTATATACTGTACCTACATTTAGTAGACAGGAGACGAACAGAACAGGTTAACAGATTCAGAGATTCACTTTCATTTCTTTTGGCAATCTGACAAGGCACAAAGATTGTAAATCAGTAGCCTGCAGTAAATGTAGTTTAACTGGGTAACATATCATCAGGGGCTCCTATTTAAAGTGTCAAGAGCATTTTGTGCTTTTCTTTTTAAAGTTACAATGAAGGATTATTCTCATTTACTTAGGTTTAAGGCATGTGGGTGCTGGGTGGGAAATTGAGCAAATTTAATTCAAAGCCAGTCTAAACCGATGGGATGAACGTTTCGTGTCAGTTTCCAGTTGCAATATGTAACCCATTTCCACAACATTAATTACAACAACAACAAAATTACATTTGTAATGCGCCATTCACATCGGGTGGACGTCCCAAGGCGCTGAGACTATCCAGAATCTGGCCTGGGTTGGCACGCGGGAGCCTGGCTGGTACAGTCATACTCCAGCTTTAGGATTCAATCGGCTGAATTTTTCTCCACTGCTGAGTTGCTGCAGGGGCATTGGTGGTGGTTCCCAACAAAAGGTTCAAAGCCACTGCCGTCCTTAATGAAGATTTAAAATTCTGTACCCTGGTTATGATGCAAAGTCTCATTGGAAGGCAAGATGATGTCAATGTAAGCAGACTATTTGTCACACCTTAAGCGTAGAACTACAGGACATGGTTTGAAAATGAAAAAGCCTCCAGCCAAGGTTAGAGATTAAAATAAATAATATCCCTCACAGTGTAACAGATTTATGGAACGGATTTCCAAGCAATGGGGTTTATTTTGAGATACCGGAACCAATTCACTGCACCGGGAAGAAGGATTCACTGAATTAATTGCAACTTCTCATGAGTGAAATTTGTGAAAACAGCTGGTGTAAAAAGTGAATTTTCCAAGCTAGAATAAATTTTTGCCACAATTTGTGAATACTACAAATTAGACTGCAGTGTCCAGTTGAGGGCAGTTGGAGGATATAGAAAGAGATACAAACCAAGATTAACAAATACTCTGGTTTGTGTGCTGCAGGGCATGGGGGAGGGAGGAGAGACAGATTATGATCCGTGGAAGGAAGAATACCAGGATTTACTAGGGGAGATGGACAAATATTGTGGAATTTTTGCTTGATTGCCTTTGGGATACAAGGAGTATCTAAGCAATTAATTCTTCCAGCCTTATGACATTCTAACAGAGGCAGTTGTGCGTAAGCTGTCTCACCACAGTGAAGCTCACCGTTTCACAATGCATCAACCTCATGAAAAAGTCATCCTGCAATTTATATTATTTTAATGTTAGTTAAATTATATCCTCTGAAAGTAGAACACCATCAAAATACTTTTTTACTGCCTTCACTGCACTCTGTAACCTGTCTGAGTCTCAACACATAACCACACAGCTTATTCTGCTATCTCCTACCCAGGACTCCTACCTGTCCAAGTGAAGCACTTTGAGATGTCTAGAATACATGAAAAGGCACTATATCAAATGCAAGGATTATTATTTATAGTTCAGAAACCACCTGTGCACCTTTTGACAGCCTCGGTTAATTAACTTGCAACATGGTCTAAATCAGGGGTTCTCAAAAGTTGTTACAGCAAGCCTCCCTAAGCTAAGAAAAAAATGTCCACCTCCCCATAGTTTACTAAGACGACACAAAGAACTGAACATCCTGTACATTGTAAAAAAAGGGTAATAGATACAATAAGATAATAGTTAGAACAAGAGTATGAGGGTCAACAGCACAATTTGATTTCATAAAGTACCTTTCATGTTATCTCACAGTTCTTGTTCTCCCCTCCGTGCATTCCGATTGGTGGCTTGATTCAGATATTAGTCCGCAGCCCTGTCCATCAGTCTGGATATCTCCCCCTCCCCACCCCGTTCCCCCCTCTTATATTCACATGGATTATCACAGGAAATGTTGTAGGATATGGTTGTCACGGGAAGCTTTGTTGTGCGGTATGGTTGTTGGAGGAGCAGTATTGCTGGGACGTGGGGCGAGTCCCGTGAAGCCCAGGACTGTTAGGAGGTATGCAACTAGCCCCTCTCTTGACACACTCCCTTTCTCTGGTCAAGAGGAATCACTTTCCTTTTCACCTTAATAATCATCACTTATGTGTAAAACCTTTTTTTAAAAAACAGGTTATGCAGATGAATAAAAACCTATACTTTGTTTCACCAATCCAAAATTAGCAGAATAAACTTTTAGTGTAATTAACGTAATGTCTACAGCTTTGTTACCTCCCTCCTCGACTTCTCCAATGCCCTCCTCACTGATCTCCCCAGGTCCACTACCCACAAACTACAACTGATTCAGAGCTCTGCAACCTGAATTCTCACTCACACTAAACTCCATACTCTCATCACACCATCCTCACCAGGATCCATATCACTCCTCTGTCTTGCCCCCTCCCCCCCGGCTTCTAATTCACAACTGAAGACCTTCCTCTTTAAGCGTGCTTACAGTCACCTCCTCCTTCCCCCCCAGCTCGACATCAGACTCTGCCACTGTTAAGACTCTGCAGCTCGTGTACTGTCCCGCACCAGGCTTCGGGACCACATCACTCCCACCCTCGCTCGCCTCCACTGGCTCCCCATCCCCCAGAGGATCGAATTCAAGATCCTCATCCTCACCTACAAGGCCATTCACGGCCTCGCTCCCTCCTACCTCTCTGACCTACTATCCCCCTACCTACCTGCCCGTACCCTCCGTTCCTCTGGCTCCGGTCTGCTCCACGTCCCCCGCCCCAACCGCCCTACCATCGGTGGTCGGGCCTTCAGCCTCTCAGCCCCTAGGCTCTGGAACTCCATCCCCCAGTGCCTTCGCCTTGCTTCCTCCCTTTCCTCCTTCAAGGCCGGTCTCAAAACCTTTCTCTTTGACTGTGCCTTCAGCTCCCCTCTCGACTCTCTTCCCCCTCCTCGCTCCCTCCCTTCCCTCCCCTCACCCTGACCATTTCCCCGCTCCTCGCTCCCTCCCTTCCCTCCCCTCACCCTGACCATTTCCCCCTCCTCGCTCCCTCCCTTCCTCCCCTCACCCTGACCATTTCCCCCAATGCTCGGGTCATGAACCAACTGTGCAGCGCCTTGGGACGTCCTCCTGACGTGAAAGGCGCTTTATAAATGGAATCTTGTTGTTGTTGTTGTTAAGTACTCAGAAACGCTGCTCCACCTGAAGGGTGCTATACCAATGCAAATTGTTGTAGTGAACAGAATCAGAAAATATTGTAGCACAGAAACCAGCTATTTGGCCACAGAGTCTATGCTAGTGGTGATCTCCATATGAGCCAAACTAATGTAATTCCACTTTCCTGCATAAATATGTCCAACAATTCACATTTTACATTTATTTTGTATCTTTCACATTAAGAGAACTTCCCAAAGCACTTCACACAGTTGACCAACCGAAAGCTCAGTAGAAAATGTAGGTTTTATGGCGGGTTTTTAAAGCTGGAGAGGGAGGGGTTGAGGTGGACAGAGTCTGGGATAGAGCACCAGAGAGCAGGGCAGAATGGCTGAAAGCTCGTCCAAAGGTGGGGAAGGTAACATGCGTGACATGAAGTAGGCTGTTAGACTGAGCAGAGGGAGCAACTGGGACGATAGGGTTGCAGAAGCGAGTGAGCTCATTGTCCCATTATGGGAGTTGCTAAACTTCGGGATATTAGCCCAAAGTCCCCTCTGCCTGTTCAGATGGACCTTAAAGATCCCATATCACTACTCGAAAAGAGAAAGGCGTTTTCCCAAGTGTCTTGGCCAACAATCCCCTAATAAAATGACCATTCATAATCATAGTTAGTTATGAGTAGAATTGCCCCTTGGAATTGTGATATACTTCTAGTTACCCCAACTCAGGTTCCTTATTAAGGAATCCAGAAAGAATTCACTAAATATTAACCATATAATATCCCAATCTGTGCTTAAGCAACACACACAGTGGATCCCAGAGGATTCTCATAAGTTTGTATTTGTGTGGATGAATGTGGCAGTCAATTTGAACACAGCAGTGTCCCACAAACAGCCATGAAGGGAATGACCAATTTATTTAGGGGATTGTTGGCATCACACAGGGAGAAACTCCCTTCTCTTTTCGAACAGGCAGACAGCGCCTTGGTTTAACAACACATCCGAAGGACCTCACCTCCTGCACTTCATTGGGATGTCAGCTTAGACTATACGTGTACCAACATGGGGCTTGAACCCACAATCTTCTGACTCAGTGGTAGGAGTGTTACCAACTGAACCATATGTGGCAACAACGACAACTTGGATTTATATAGCGCCCTCCATGCTGGACGACGTCTCAGAGCGCTTTACAGTAACGGATCCCGGGACCGAGCCAGGGAGAGGGGGAGGAAGGTGACCAAAGGCGCGGTCGAAAAGAAAGGTCTTCAGCAGAGACCTGAAAATAGGAAGGGAGGGGGCGAGACGAAGGGAGTGAGGAAGGGAGTTCCAGAGCCTCGGGGCATAATGGCTGAAGGCACGGCCGCTGAGGGTGGAGCGGAGGACTCGGGGGTCAAGGAGGCCAGACCACGAGGAACAAAGGCAACGTGTACTGTTTTGAGGAGAGAGGAGGTCAGAGAGGTAGGGGGGTGCAGAGGAGTGCAGGGACTTGAATACAAGGGTGAGGATCTTGAAGTCGATCCTCTCTGGAATAGGCAGTCAGTGCAGTCTGGCAAGGACTGGGGTGATCGGGGAGCGGAGTTTCGTGCGGGTGAGAATGCTGGCGGTAGAGTTTGCAATTACTTGGATTTTATGAATGGTAGTGGATGGGAGACCGGTGAGGAGGGCGTTAAGAGTAGTCCAGCCAAGAGGTGACAAAG